TAATTTTTATTTTTTATTTTATTTTTTTTAATGCAAACTAAACCTTTTTATATTTTGAGGGGTGTAAATGTTGAGTATGATTTGTGCGATACACCTATATATGTGAGATTCATGCATATAATTTTATTTAATAACTGGATGATTTGTTGTTGTGATATGTTGCTTTTTTTGTTTGTAATGATTTTTAGAGTTTTATGTTATCTATGTGCAGCACTTGGGTACATTTTTATGCTTTTGAAAGGGCTTTATAAATAAATCTGAGTTAAGCTGCGTTCTCTATGAATTTAACTGGTTCTCAAAGCTGAATATCATCATCATATCAGTGATAGAAACAGCCATGTGTCTTTATTACTGGCTGAGTAAGTTTGTAAACAGGAGCGTGAACCCTGAGGCATCCCAGCATCTCACAACTCATGTTTTAAACAGCTCCTGTTACACACAGCGCTGGTCCGTGTATCTGTTCTCCACACATTGCTGTTTCATGCTGATTGTGTGGCGACTTCTGCCAAACGATGTGTTTGCAGTCTTTCCTTGCATAACGAGTTTCACGCTGTTGTATCTCTACAGAGTGCCGTCCTGAGCGTGTATCTCATTAATCTCTCAAAGCACCTTCTGCTGAGCCACACAGAATGGCAGGAGGGTACTTAATGACCCTGCGGTTGGCTCGAATCGCCAGGCCAGCGACGGCGGGACAGCAGAGGAGGGTCTAAATGAGGAATCAGGTGTCATTCCGAGGTAATGCCTGCAACTTAATGCCATTTAGTTATTCTGAACACATCTGCTCAGTCTCTATCTCTGCCCGTCTCTCTCTTCTTTTAATCATAGCAGGAAGCCACTTTTATTATAAATGCTATTTCATCGTGCCTTCAAACAGACCCACAATTAGGAAGGTAACCTGCTGTGACCCTTACAGCTTCCAAAATATAAAACTAGCTGTGTAAAATCAGTGTACTGCATGAATTTAAGTTCATCAATCCTTACCCCAATTCCCATGAGTTCAAGAATCAGACTTTAAAGGCCAGTTTTACACATTTTATGTCTTTCACACAGCATTGTTACAACTCTGTCCCTAAAATAAAGTGATTTCTGGGTTACCATGGTGAGTTTTTTCTTTGATAATGACTGGAAATAAATACATTTTTATTAGAAGTAGTAGAAGCTTATTTAGTAGTAGAAACTACTGTACATTGGCATGAAATCTAATTTGCATAAGGTTGGGAACAGGGTTATTATAGATAACTAAAACTATAAAAAAAAAAAAATTCATTACTTGAAATAAATAAACGTTAAATAAAATAAAATATAAAAAGATAAATTTTTAGAAGCATTTTTCATTTTCATTTAGTTTAACTTGATATACTAAAATAACTCAAACTAAAACTGAAATAGAAATTCATAAAAACTCACATTTTAAAATAATAATAATAACAGTAATAATGGATAAAAACTCACATTTTAAAATAATAATAATAATAACAATAATAACAATAATAATGGCAAAAACACTAAACTGCTAAACGAAATTATTAAAATCTAACTAAAATGAAAATGGAGAATGGAAAATGGAAAAAGAAATAACATAACAATGTAAAAAAAAATTCTAAATATTAACAACAAATATAATATTATCTCATATTATCACATTTACATACATATGGTAATTCATTTTTAAATTGTGCAGATTTAGTCCAAACTGAATCTTTGTTTGATATAGCTAAAATATACCTTTAAAAAAAAAAAAACATTTTTTCAATTTAATTTGTGTTATTTCATACTTTTGATGATGACTTTGATTAAAAAATGTGGAAAACAGTCCATGACAAAACTTTCAAAACTGATAATGCATGGGCGCCTAAATAAAATTGTTGTTTTTGTCCCGCCAGTTTTATTTTAGCATCACTGATATATTATTATTATTTTTTATTAATATTTTTTATTGTTTTTTATTTTCATATTTTGTTTTAATTTTAATTTTAGTTGAAGTTTTCATAATTTTGTTATTTAATTATAAATACATTGTTATTATTATTATTATTTAAGTGTGTCTGTTCTTATTAATATTTATACTAGTTTTAAGTATTTTAGTACTTCAAGTTAGATAAAAAAAAGAGAAAGTATTATAATTACTGAAATAAGTTAAAACTTTGATTTTTATTTTTAAGTAATTTTTATTTTATTATTATTTATTATTTAAAGGGAGACCTTCGTTCATCTTCGGAACACAATTTAAGATATTTTTGATGAAATCTGAGGGCTCTCTGACCCTCCCATAGACAGCAAGGTAACTACCAGGTAATGACGTCATCATGCCGGATCTGGGTCAGCGCAGACACACGCTCGTGTCATGGTACTGTCGTGAACGCGCGTCCAAAGTGACGCAGTATTATTTTATTTTTTAAGTAATTATATACTTTTAAGATTTTTAAGTAATGAGTTTTTATGAATTTTTAATTAATTAATAGTTTATCATTATTATTTTACTTTTTTGGTAATAATCCTGTGTCCCGCAGACACAATGTGTGCAACAGGTTGAAGTCAGACCCACCTGTCTATGCTGATGGCGCAGAGGTTAAATATAGAGGCGGTGCAGAGCATCACATCCATGGTCATCAGTCCATCACATAGGGTCATATTGAGGGACCAAACCCCATCCTGGAACTGAGAAGGAGAGAAAATCATCACCGTATTTTACTCCTCACCCATCTGTTGCTTCTAACATCCTTGCCTCTGTCTATCCTCACCGTCTTTTCCAATCACTCCATTCCCATGGCTCTCTGACCTCTTTCACCTTCCCCTAACTTCGTGTTCTTAGAGCCACAGCGGAGCGACTGTGAAACCTTAATTTCCCTATCATCAGCGTAGTGTTGTCACAACAACCAAGCCAAACACACACACACACACACACACCACATGCTCCAGGGCTGATGGTAATTTTGTAGCTGATATGCATCCCGCGGTCTAAAAAAAGAGATAAAACAGCAGAGAGGAGGATTTAATGGCATTTTAATTATTGGCCTGGAGAAGAGGACAGATTCTTAATTGCTTTTTGGTAATGGCCTCTCTCCCATGCCAATGAGCCACATTCACCCTACAAGTGGAAGCCATGAGATTATGGTGAGGGGGCTCATGTAAAATTGTAATTAAGCTACAGCTGACTCACTGGAGCATATTTTCTCCGTGTCCTTGACCTGGAGAGCCAGCGAGACCGCCATGAGCCGTTTGCTTTGCTTCCGGTGACCTTGTCCCCGCTGTCTGAGGCCCTCAGTATCCAGTCTAGGGGACACGGTAACCAGCATGGCCCCGAATCCATGCCTGAATGGAATGTCCGATTGCTAGTTTTTTGGAGGCCTCTTTGGTCTCGGACCTCACGCCCACATCTCGGGATGGCAGACAATGCGTATTGTGCGATGTGTGTTTATGACATCCGGTTCTGGCAGAGACAGACAGTCTCAGCAGGAGGGGGCCGAATGAATGCATGTCTGCAAAGTTTTTCATGCAAGTGTAACAGCTGAGTATTGACGCCAAGTTTGTTTTGCACTGTTATGGAACAGTGCCATATAGTTGTTTATCAGATTGGTTAAGAATTGAATTGCAATCAAGTAAATAGATGAAAGATTATAGATTACTGTTACCATGGTAACCATAGTTAATGGCAAGCTTCAGTTATTGTTGAAACAAAAAAAACATGTTTTAAACACATTTTTATGTTCACATTCTAAAAAAAAATCACTCAAAATTAAATATTTAAATAAAAATTTTTTTTTTAAATTAAAGGCAGGGTATGTGATTTTTCAAAAACAATAGCAAAACAAACTTGTAGCCAATCAGCAATAAGGGGCGTGTCTACTCGTGATGTGGAGGAGAGAGCTTTCAGTGCATGGGACGGGCATTAGCCGAGCGACAGAAAGATAGAGATGGCGGATAAAAAACAAAAGAGGAAAACGTCTGCGTATATATATATATACACACACACTCAAAATGTATTAATTTATATGTATTAATTACTATTTTTATTTTTTCCCCCAAGTTTGTTTATTGTTTTTAAGCAAGAAAAAGGTGTTAACAATAACGGAACATAGATAAACACATTTTTATATTGAGTAAATATTGCATGATATCACGTTATTACATATAGCTGACTTAAACTAGGTTTAATATGGACATGCGAAAACCATCATGAAAGTGGTCAAAACTTACAGTGGTACCAATAAGAAGGTTGTACCTCTTCATTTAAGATGATCACCAGATAAACCAGCTTAGCAGGATTTTAAAGTTGGTACCTGTTTGTTTCCTGGTCACCTTAAACATTGTACATATTAGGCTATAATACAACATTATATTAAATGTCAAATATCTAGGCAATGAAGTGACTCGACTCACCTCTGCATACACGAACAGCGGTAAGACCAGAACAGCCAGCAACAAATCAGCAACAGCCAAGCTGACTATGAAGTAGTTGGTTGTGGTTTTCAGCGCTTTCTCCGTGTAAACGCTCAGACACACCAGCACGTTCCCGCAGATGATGATAATGATCAATAATATCCCGAAGATGAGCGCTGGGAAGTTGTAGTTCGTGCTGTGGCTGGAGGCGGTGAGGTTGGCTGGCATGTCTGCCTCTATAACAACCTGTCATCTGGGAATCCCTTGATAAAACTGACCGATGAAACCCGTTTCTTCTTTGCCATGATTTGCGCGTTTCTCAAAACTCCGAAAGTTCCGCTTTGGAGCTGCGTCCCGTTATGTTCTATTCTTAAAGAAGGGGAAGACGCTCACAGTGAGCTCTAAGATCATCGCTGTTCATTCTTCGCTCTTCGACGCGAAAGTTTTCCGTCAGGTTCGCAGCGCGGATCTTCGACTGCTTCTATTTCCATCCAGAGTCTTTAAGCGGCTTAGCGTCGCGTTACTGGGGCGCTGTTAATATCTGAGGCGTTTCATTATATTACCCTGAGGCATATCTTTATAATAACATCACTTGTTATAGTTAGTGAATATGGCTGGATAAAGCCAGAGACGTGTCAGCGTCAACCTTTAGTTTCGACTAACAATCCACGGGAGTGATAATATCGTCCTACCGACGGGTGGGTGTGACATTTTCCACGTCTGGCTGATGAAGGATGCAGGTTTAAATCTTGCGTATTTGAACGTACACTGCTATGTTAAATCGCTTATATTATTTTTTATCCCTGATAGCACACGTACATCATGGAGATGTCTATTTGACGTCTGCATTTACATCTGCAAGATGTATTTTTTAGAGTTTGCTCACCTGTGATACGTCTATAGGACGTTTCCTATCAGATGTCAAATAGACGTTTAGAAGATGCCTTTGAGATGTTTATGATTTAGAATGCATGTAAAACTGACATCTTATGTCTGTCAGATGTTTGTACAAAACAGATGCTTTCCAGATGAAGCGATCTTTAACGGACATCTTACATGTGCTATCTGGGCACGTACATCACGGAGACGTCTATTTGACGTGTGCATTTACATCTGCAAGATGTATTTTTTTAGAGTGTTTGCTCATCTGCAATACATCTATAGGACGATTCCTATCAGATGTCAAATAGACGTTTAGAAGATGCCTTTAAGACGTGTATCATATTTTTGTACACAGCAGATGCTTTCCAGATGAAGCGATCATTAACAGACATCTTTCAGACGTATGTGTGCTATATCTAATGATTTTCAGGGAGGTTTACTGTTACCCAGATAGCACACGTATGTCTGCAAGATGTCTGTTAAAGACCGCTTCATCTGGAAAGCATCTGCTGTGTACAGATATTTGATAGACGTCTTTAAGATGTCAGTTTTACATATGTTCTAAATCATAAACATCTTAAAGACATTTTCTATTTGACATCTGATAGGAAACGTCCTATAGATGTATTGCAGATGAGCAAACACTAAAAAATACGTCTTGCAGATGTCAAATAGTCGTCTCTGTTACGTGTTCTATCAGGGTATATTAAATCGCTTATATTAATTGTTATCCACTGTGCAAATAGCTATAACCTTGATAGCACACGTACATCATGGAGATGTCTATTTGACGTCTGCATTTACATCTGCAAGATGTATTTTTTAGAGTTTGCTCACCTGTGATACGTCTATAGGACGTTTCCTATCAGATGTCAAATAGAAAATGTCTTTAAGATGTTTATGATTTAGAACATATGTAAAACTGCCATCTTAAAGACGTCTATCAGATGTTTGTACACAGCAGATGCTTTCCAGATGAAGCGATCTTTAACAGACATCTTGCAGACGTGCTTGTGCCATCTGGGTTTACTGTTAAAAATTTCTAGCACAGATATCCATGAGCGCTGTTGGATTACAAATTTAAGAATCTGTTTAAAATATGCTGATACTATATTCTGACATAGCATCACATGAAAAACTAAGGTGAAGTACATTGTATTTAGCATTTAAGGTAAATTACATCAGACAAATGATTATCTTAAACAAAGTGTAGCAAGAGGTTCCTGTCTGTTCCGGTTTCTCTTATTGTTAGTCAAATTAACCAAATTACTGAGAAAGTCACCTTTTGTTTGTAATGGCTCTTGGTGCCTCCGCCCCAGTCTTTGAGTAGTTATGCTGATTGGATTAGCACCTATGCATTTGAATGACACTGTTATGCTGATGAGATCAGGGCTGGAGAAATTCCGGTAACGGGCTGATTCCTGTATTGCATTTGCATGCTTTGTTTAGATTGTCGCCACCTCTACTGAATGAATCCCGCCCCCTTAAAATGTATATAAACTCTACTGTGCTGAGCTATAGTCAGACTTGGATGACTGCAGCGACGCACAGCGAGTCCTCAATAAAGAGTGACTTCTGTATGAAAGATATCCCAACGTCTCCTGGTCTCTGCTTCGACGAGGAAAAAGTTTCCTACAGCGCCAACTGTCATAAAGAAGTTTTTGTGTTTTAAGTTTGAGTTTTGTGAATCTGTAGTAAAGTGGAAAAAATAACGACAGTTTGTCCGATACTCATTCTGACACGAAGTGCTTGTACTTTAGCTATGGTTACTTTAACGGAATTTCTGTTCGCGCGCGTGAAAATGCATGAATTTTACTGGTTGCTGAAACATTCGTGATTGTTTTTCTCTTTCCTAGTTTTTTCCCCCAAGATTTTAAATTAAAATCTAGCTATATAATTGTAGTCTATTTAAGGTCAAGTATATGAGTTTACAAAAACAACATGTATAATTATACTGGGAGCAGGCTGGTTTTAGAGGGGTTTTGGCCACTTCTTTAGACCATTTTAGACAGAGTTTTGCATGCCGCACAGCAGGATACATATCACTGTAAAAAATGACCGTGAATTTAACAGTAAAAGACTGTAAAAATGCTACAGTAAAAACCTGTTAAATGGTTTACGGTAAATTCCCCTACTATATACAGTGAACAACTGTATTGGACATTACATGTATTGGACATTCATTTTACGGTAGTATACCAGATTTGGAAGTGAAAAAGACATATAATTTACAGTGAATAACCGTAAATTGACATTCCCAGAATTCCCTGCATTACATTTCAAATTTGATGTTTTTTTGTTGAAATAACTGGCTTTGGTTCATCGTGTGACTTTCTCATCACCACCTGCATTTGGTGGTTATCAGTGTATTACAAAGGTACAAAACAGATTTCAGTACTTCAATAGGTTGGTATATAATAACATTTTATCAGTTAATGAAATTACGGTATTTAACTGTAAATTTAAGTTAAAATCGTAAAACCTAAAACGTTGCTACCGTATTTTTTACGGTAAAATTCCGGCAACCACAAATTTTACGGAATTTTTTTTACAGTGTATGTCATGCCAGGAGTTCATGTGTGTCCCTAGAAGAGGGCTTAAATAATGGTTTATGTGTTTGTCTTTTGTAAAATGGCCGATTAAACATCTGTCAAAACAAGTTAGTGCTGCTTTCGTTCGGGCTGCTCTGTGTAGAAGTTCACACAGGTGTCTGGTGTGTCTCTTTTGTGTCTGAGATCCATTCATCAGCCACAGTGGCTCATGGCACATCAATTAACAGCATTTTGGATACAATGATAAAGGCAATTCAGACATTAGAATAGTATATAGTAATAAAACACACTGATAGAAAAAAAATCTTCTATTGTAATATTAATAATAAACGTAAATGAAATTACGTAAAAATGTTTCTAGTCATTTTTATTATGACTGGCATGCCTCTATAATCCATTCCACTGAGGAAGCTTAGTAGTCGCTGATGACATTTTTATCATAATCATCATCAACACTGTCATCACGATTAGTGTATACTCCACCGTGGCGAGCAGAGCTGCAGTGGAAATGTTTGATTGGGTCTAAGCTGCTTTGATCCAGACGTAGATTGTTGGACTGGCTTGTCTAACCTTTCAAATCAAACGGCTAAATGATGTTAAGTGTTGTCATCTGCCTTTCTAATTCAAGTTTGCTGTTTCCAAGACAGAATTTTGTAGCCCATATTGTCAGTGATAGTCGTCCCGTACGCAACCAGTGAGAGTGTCTGTGTGCCACCGGCCCTGCATTGTGTCATAATCTGTTTTGCCATGGATTATCTGTGTAGGTTTCATCTGCATTATGATAAATCTTTGAGTAATGCTTTGACCTTTCCAGGTTGTAAAGACGAATGCAGGAGCGTTGACCTTTTACGTATAAAAGGCCTGCTGTTTTGTTCAGCTGAAATGTGAGTAAAACTCATTAATTCAGTAAATTTAGCAATAATATGACATATGTTTATTGATTGAAATATTGAAGATGAATGAATTTGTTGTCTCGATTTTATTTTGTGGCTAACCGGTTATGTTTTAAAGAGCAATATCTGCACCTGTGACCTTTTCTGAGTGATTAATTAGGATTGTTCATTTCTGAGGTACATATAACTGCATTGAAAGAGACTGAACGAACTTTCATACAGCAATACATCAAACTGGTAAGATGAACAATTTTAGTTGAACTAAAACTTAAAACTTTTACATGAAAGTTCTGGTTGCAAAACAAGTTTCTGGACAGCATCTGTGATGTGCTGTTCTTCACTTGGTTTGACACTTTAATTTATATTTAAAATAAAATTATAGATAAAAATAAAATTTCTAATAAAATTAATTTTAAAAAAATAAACTTTTTAGTTGCGTCTATATTAATTAATTAGTTGGCTAAATTATCATTTAGTTGTAGGACTACTGTTTTCAGACATACATTTTTTAATTTTGTCACTCATATCACACTCACTTGAGCTCCAGTAGAGAAAATTTGATCAATAATTTGCAGTTCATAGAAGTAAATCAGTTCTGTGTGTTTGTGTCCTGATTACAGTATCGATCCAGTCAGGGAAGTATCTTTACCAAAGACCGTACAATTGCAGTTCCACATAAACCCTTTGATATTTTCACTCATATCTTATCTTTTTCACTCTAGACAGAACGAAAGTAAACACTTCTATTTTAATCAATGTGTTTGACATTTTCATTTTGATCTGTGCATGTTGTTGAAGCATAAATTGCAGTGTTGTTATTAAGTGACCTATAAAACCATTTTTTATCACTTGTGTGTCTCATCAATGCAATCTCATTCCCTTCTCATTAATGTCAGATTAAAACTTAAATAGTATTCAAATAAAAACACATTATTAAATCTTATTTGTATTAAAGTGTCAATTTACTGTAATGTGTTAGGTTCGGTTATAGTGAAGGAGCAATAACATTAAATCTAAACGTCAGAGGAAAACTGAATAACGTACATTAACACACAAAGCTAAAGAGACGGTTCCCTGCATCAGTGCTTTTCAACCGGTGGGTTGAAGGTCTGTTCTGGGGTGCGTTTCCCAAACAATGACATAACTTGCTAACATATGCATTGTTGGAGAAACTAACTAGCTAGTCACAATTCTTTCCTGAAAAAGTAGGAACTTTGTCACATATCCGCTGTTCAAACCACGTTGTTTAGAATTGTCATTAATGACGTCAAGCAGGTGGTGGAGTGATAACTTTGGCTAATTAATCAGTTTGAGATCAAATTAATGTCAGATT